TGTATGTCTTAAAAAGAAGCCTCCAGCAACTTAATCCTAACGTCGTGTCACCATTTAAAAGATTACGATGGTCCAGATTTTCTTCTTAATCTTCCAACACAAAAGTGAATATTTTCCACCAAGCCGGAGATAGGAAGAGAACGACAAAGCTCTCCCTCTGTCCACAGCTCAGGCTAATCAAGGTTTCAATCATCTTCAGGAAACTTCCTGGACAAAACCAGCCAGATCTTTCACTTCTTTATCTATCATGTCTCGAGATGGCACAAACCAGAGTGCCATGGATTGTTTTCCTTATGATTCATGGGATCTTTCTTCTTCATCTCATGTTCACAGTGTCCTCTCATTAACTGAATAGCTGCCCCTACATGATATGTAGGTGACAACTTTCCTAAGAAAGAATTTTTAAAAACCTATAGCCTCAAAAACAAAATAAAATCAATAGACATTTTTAATGTTAAATTCATGAACTAAAAGAAACAAAGTTCCTCAGGTTATGATCCTTTTCCTCCCAGAACTTCTATTTCTGACGGGATTTTTTTCAATTCTGATTATCATTTTTGTTTTCAATAAATATTACCTTATTTCATCAGGGCAAGATGAAACCCAGTAATTTCATATGTGAATTCATTGTTGATTCATTTTTCATTATGTCTTTAAATTGATACCTGGTAGATATATTTATAGTCTTGACTATTTCTGTATGACAGCAGCAATATAACTGGCTTAAAATTTTTTTAAAGTAGAAAATCTAATCTGTGATTACACTCACATTGCATAGCCTTCCAGCCCAGCCACAGGCTGAGAGAAAAGGTGGTCTTCAGTTGTGGAGAAACCAGTCAAAGGACATGAGGGAGGCCATGGCGGGCACTATTAGGTGCTTCATGCTGGGTCAGAGTTTAATGATAAACTATCTGGCAGAAGCAACAGGTCTATGAACAACCCATTTCTCCAAACAGCTTCAATTTATACCCACAGTTGGCCATTTATCTTACATGTAGATGCAGTAACTTCTTCTATCATTTTAAAAAGTAAGGACCGCTAAGGATCTTTAAGAGTTATTTTGAAAACTCATTACTACACCGGGGCTCATTCAGGGGGCACCAGCTGCAGGCTTCTGTTTCTCTTGGTTTCTCTTCACTGGCCAAGGACAGTACAGTTATGTTCAGCTGTCAGCTAAAGTGGCACACTTTGATTGGGTGCCTGTGAATTTATAACTGTGCAATTATGACTCATATACAATACCCCCCTATCTCCTGTTATACCATTTTCCTGCTTTTGACGAAAAAAAAATCCAGAAAAAACACAAAACGTCTATATTTTTGCATATTAAATGTGTGTTCTCACGGACAATTCTTTCACCAGGCAAATGGCATTATTTTAAAGGAAGCCTTTATTTCTTTAGTATATACTCACTTGGCTTTACAGAACAGGATCCTGTTACCATTGAGGAACTGTTTGGGGACAATAAGTTTTTCATGAGCTCTAGGAAAAAGATAACATTGTTATCCTTTTCTCTTATTATTTCAAGATTTACAAGGAATGTTTTACTTAAACATTTTTTCCCAAAAGATTCCTTTCTCTGTTGTTCCTTCATTATTAAGCAATTCTCTATCTTGCAAGTTGCGAAAAAGTATTTGCCAGATTTTCATAATAGTTTGCATTCAGACATTCTGATGGCAAAACAGCACAGTTAGTACTATTTTTATGTAAAACCATTTGAATTTGTTTATGATAAGATTATTTCTACTCATCACTTTATTTCTTTAGTCCCTTGCATACAGTATCCATCCAAACTCATTTATAGATTAATTAATAGATGAATGAATGCATACATGCCTTACAGCCCGTCAAAAATTATTTTGACACTTTTATAGTATATGGACTTTCTGTGCTGTCACTGTTTTCTTACAAAAAAGGCTTTCACTTACACAGAGATCTATATACTAAAGGAACTCTTAATAATGTCATCGAAGAAAGTATAGACTCTGGATTTAAATTCTAGCTCATCCATTTACAGCTGTGTGATTTTGGAAGTAAAATAGGAATAATAATACACAGTAAGTTTGTTTTCAGAGCCAGAAATAATGTGTTTTAAGTGCCTGTCACATAGCAGGCATTCTATTATTGAGGTTAGTATTATTTTTGCACTAGAAAAAACTCTAAGAAACCCTGAGCCCCTGCCACACCCAGCAACTCCTCTGAATAAAGCATCATAAGGGGTTCCTTAGGCATGATCCTTGGTTTCTGGGACCCCATCATCCTTTCTAGATGCCTAAACCAAGGCTGGTATCTGAAACAAGGGCAGTCCTACCTGGCTTGGCCAGCAGCCTGTGGAAATTCAAACAATAGCAAGACTAATAAACAGGGACAGCCAATCAATTCTATCAGCTCTTCTCTCAAAGAGTTTGAATGTCCGACACCCAGAGGAGATCAGACGTGAAGCAGAGCTGGTGGGAAGGGGGTTGTGGAGAGAAGGTGGCATGCCGAAGTCCTGAGAGAGTCAAAACAAGAGGAGGAATTAGGAATGGGGTAGAATCAGATAGTTTCAGTAGATGAGGGAGAAAGAAGCTGACTCTTGAGAATGAGGGAGAGACGGACAAGCCCATTCCAAGGGGCTGCTTCCTAGAGTTGCTATCGCTTCTCCAGAATATATCACATCTCTAAGTATTTAGCTGGGAGCAGCCACTTGCCTGTGCCTCATTGTCTACCTTTACATTTATCCCACCCACAGGGTGTGCCTCTGTTGCTTGTGGCCAGCCTGAGCGTTACTAACATGGTAAAGGAGAGTGGAAGGTCAGAGAGCCGGGAAGGGGCTGACCTAGGGTAGAGCCTCTCACTTCTGTATCAGCTCTTTATGCTTCCCCTGTTGCTTCCATTCCTTCTGCCCCACCTCTCAATTGATCCTAGTATTGAAAAGGACCTTAAAGACCACTTAAGCTAACTAGTCATAGGGGCATTTGCTGTTCAATTTCCACCATTAACCCTCCTTCCTAACCATACGTACATTTTCTCCTTTGGGAAGAATAGTGAATCCAGCTGCCCTGATCCCCCTCCAAGGGACTAAAAAGGTCTCTATAAAGTCCTCCTGCCAGCTGTGCCTCTTTTCCTTATTCAGCCAAGGAACAAACACCAGTGTTAAGCTCAGCTGATAGTTTCCCTCTCCAGACACTTTAACTCTTAAGGGAAGAGACTACGGTCAGAGGAGCAATCGGTTCCTTTATCCCCCACCTGCCCCCTGCCCTGGCCATGCACCCTCCATGCTCCCTGGGTCACACTGCGCAGTTGCTTTTCCCTCTCCCCGCCACACTCTCCCCACAGGGCCTCCCACAGCTCACTCCACCCAGGCCTCCAGTACCTTCCCCGTTATTCTCTTCTGCTACTATATTCCCTTTCAGAACTTGTTTCGTTCTTCTTCTTAGCACCTATCACTACTCAGGATGTTACATACTTATTTAATAGTTTACTGCCTATTTCCTCACTCAAATATAAGCTTCACAAGACCTGGGCCTTTGTCTATTTCCTGTAGGATCCCAGTGCCTGGCTCTTGTGGATACTCAATAAATATGTATTTTAAAAAGCAAGAATTTATTCTTTCCACTGATAGTATCTGGCCTGCAATGTGGAGTGGTTTTGCCAACCAGACTTTTCGAAGTTATCGGGATTTTTCTCTTTTCCAAGCATGGTCTATTAGACTCTATGAGCAACTCCAAGCTTTCCCAAATTTTTTCAATATATTTTCTTCTTGCATAAGTCACCTAAGATGTTTAATTCTGCTTTTAAAGAATGAACCATAGTTTACATACTTCCTAATCAATGCTTGAATTTCCTGTAACACAACCCAAGGTTCTCTGTTCAACTCTGGGTAGACACCAAAAGAAACTGAAAAATTCAACATCCCTTAAATGGATTATCCTCACAACTGTAATAAAGTGGTTTTCAGTGTACCGAAGAAAACCAATGCAAGAGCATATATAGCTGCTGTGACAATTTACCACTTAGAAAGATAAAGGAAAACAAAACGGTCTGTGTTCCTAAGACAGAGCCATGAGAGGAAACCTTACCACAGCATGAGCAGTGAATTGCCATCAAAACTGAGTCTTCTCTTCTCTTTCAAAGCCCACCCAAGCTGGCATCACTTGTTCTAGGCATCTCTTCCTTTAAGTGTGCTCCACTACCCTGCTTTCTATCAGACATAAATAATTCCTATGCTCATTGCTTCCAATTCTCCTACTTCCTTCAACAAAATTATACTAATCTGCATTCTCCTATCCAAATGATTCATAAAACCAATTGTGTCAAAGAATTAGCTAGCCCACTTCGTGACATAGTTTTATTATATTGCTAACATTTTTTTTTTAAAAAGGCAATGTTCAGCAAAAGCACTGGCAAAAAATTGTTTTCACATAAATATGTCTCTCTTAAATCTATACTCTCTTTCTACTCTTATAGCTGCAGTCTGGTTCAAGACTTTGCCACGTACAAATTAGACAACTATCAATTCTAACTCAGCCTCCTAACAGTCCCTCACTTATAACATCAATATCCTTCAATCTATCTCTCACAATAGTAGGCGATCTTTCTAAAATACAAGTGGAGAATACAAATTCTACCTATGAACACAGGAATGCAGATATGAAATATTAAAATTTAAAACTTCTGAAAGCTGCTGAATAAGAATTTTCATACTTTGGAATTTAGAAAAAGATACATCAAGGCATGTAAATTTCAAAAAAAAAATCAATAAAAACCAAATTTAGCTGCGCTTCACAGTGGACACAAACAAATAAAGCTGCCTTATGCTAATGCCTTTGTAACTATTATGAGATACCATTGTGTCTTGCATTCTGTAGTCCTCAATCTTAATATTCCCATTTTGTACATTGCTATCTTACTGGTAATGTTCACACACAATACAGTGAGTTCTTAGAAAGTTCAGGTCAAAAATTACTACACCATATCTCAAACTCAACTCAGTAGCCAGAAAATGGAAATAAAACAATTTTTATTTTAATTTTGTGTTTTAATTTTGGAGACTAAATCATTTGGGGAGACACAGTAGCCATACTTCCAATATCCATCAGCATTTGAAACAAGATGTAAGTCAGGAGCTTGTGGTAGCCATCTTTACCACCACACTGCAGAGACCCCATCTGAGAATGATGCCTTCAGCAAAGAAAGCAGCACCTAGAGAGGGACAAAAACAGATTCTTGCTTAGAGTATTAGAATAGCTAGATCTAGCTGTGCCTGAAGCCCACATACTATCTAAACATTCCAGGTCAATCAGGCAATGAATGCATTGTCTTTTAGCAATATGAGTTCATTTTCTAGCACTGCAACCTGAAGAATCATGACTAATACAGCAATCTATTCTTTATAAAACAACAAAGTGAGAAAGGAAATCTAGAAAAGGAATGAATGGGTTTTCTCCAATGGAAAATCATGTCCATTGATACTGGGGATTTGCCAACCTCTTTGTGGAAGTTATGGACATTTCAGTCATTCCTTCATCTACTCGTTGCACTCTGCCCCAAGCCCTCTTCTATAGAACTTCTTCACACACCTGAGAAGCCTGAGCCTGCTTCCACAGCCCTAATGAAAGGGCAGCAAGCTGCAAGTCCTCCTTCCAGTCACAGTTGACTTTGCCAGGAGTGGACACCCTACTCAAAAGGGCCAATCCAAAAATTTCTCCTGAAAAACTGAAATTGTCTTGTCTCTGCTGATGCTTAAAATAAAAAGACATAGCTTTGTGAGAACATTTTACACACATGCTCATAAAAAAGAATCAAACAAACAAGGAAAAAACTTGTTGCAGCAATAACAAGGAATAAAACTAATATCCAATATACACCAGAAAAATACAGAAAGATAATAACTGCATTGGTATCAAACTTATTCTCATATCTATCCCGGCTATGGTCCTCTTAAGGTCTGGCTACATTGTTTTCCCTTGCAATAATTCAATATATTCCCCCCTTGCAGCTTGAGCTAGTTTGAATGGGTTTCAGCAACTTGCAACCAACCAATCTCTCTCTGAAAAATAGCCCATCAATTGTATGAGAAATATTTTGAGATCGTTTAAAGAAAAAGCTAAATCAATTCAAAGTATGAGTGAAGGTGGTCCCAACTTTTAGATTTGATTTGTGCTTTTGGTGACTCCACTTTAAGTGAAATCCCACAAAGGTAAATCCACTTGCCTATGCACTGTGTGTTTGCAGATTGTTCATTTCAGTTCTTAGCTTTAGCTGTTTGGACATTGATGGAAACCATCAAATAATTCAATACAGGCAGAGAAAATGAAAAACAACTATAAGTACCATATTTTTAAAGCATGATCTCAGATGTACTTATGGGTACTTGCCCCCAGAGTGATCCTTCTAAAATCCTAAACTGATCATGCCTTTCCTGATTCTAATCCTCTTATAGTTCCATTTCCTTTAATAGAAAATGCAAACTTATAGATGCTCTGTGCCTACTTACCTCTCCAACCCCATGCCCCACTCAGTTCTTCATGTATACCTTACTAGCATTTCTCTAAGTCTTTCAACACACTACCCCTTATTCTAGAATAAACTAAACACATTCTCCTGGGGTCTAGGGGCATTGTCAAAAGCAGTTCTTGCAAGCACAAAATTCATATGAAATATTCATGCTTGGTTGAATAAATCTGAACATTCTATTCAATAATATATACGTATTTGTTTTGAGATATATTTCCCTAGAATTGACAATCTGTAATGAGCTTTAAGATTGTCAACTTTATTTTTCTATCCCTAATGTCCATAGAGTGCCTAGCACAGATGAGGTGTTCAATAAATATTTGCCAAATGAATAAACAATAAATCCTTGTTGGATGAATAAAGCCATATCCATTCTGTGGCCCACATACCTCCTGGCACACAACTCTGTACGACAGCTTGAGAAGCAGGGCTCTGGTCATTCTGAACTGCTTAACTTCTGACACACTCCAACACACTCTTCAAGATACAATTAACACCATCTACTTGGAAGTCTTCCTCAACTCCCCAAGTGAGGAGTACTGCTGTGCTCTGAAAGCACCTCTAGTATAAAATTTAGTATACTGTATCATAATTGTTTGTCTGCTTCACTGTCTTCCTACAAGACTGGAAACTCCTTGAGATTGTGATCAGTGCTTTCTTCCCCTCAAGAGCACCAGCACCTGGCCCATCGAAGGCTTGAATGAGCATCGTGTTAAATAAACGAATGAGTGTGAATGATTCAGTTATAGGTTTTTGCTGGTCACCACTAATTATGGGAATCAGCATAGTGAGAAACTGTAAAATCTGGGTTATGCTTCTGACTGAAACATCATCTGTTACCTAACCTTTAGAAAAACTGAGTAGATGATGAAGTAATGACCAGGACACTTGAAATGCAGAAACACCAATTTTTAATGTGTTTGCACCAAGAGTGACCACACTACTATTTCTTCCACCTTTATTGGGCTTACAACTAAGTAGTCATGAACTAAATGAACACTGATGAAATAAAAGAACAAAAGTACACCCCTCTTCCCTAATCTTTCCCTTCATCCCTATGGCCTATTACTCAAAGAGGCCCAGTTACCACCGCCAGAACCTATGCTCAATCGTGAGCTGTCACGAAGGGTTCCAAACTTTATTCTTAGCACAACTAAGCATTTAAATATGTTGCAAAGTTAAACACTGATGAATTAGTCTGACATCCCAAATATTTACCTTTTGCTTTAGAAACACCAAAGGGAGAAAATCAGTAGTTTATGCAGTGTGGGTCACCGGTACATAGAATAAATAGCCAATCTCCGGTGCAGTTTGTACCCTACTCAACAGTAGGAAACCCTTCCAGCATTACCGTGTCCTTTATAATCTATAACACTTTGGGGAATCTGTGGATTGTTTTGCTGCCAAAGCACAGAGGGGGAAGGAGGGGCAACACGCCAGCTCCTCTTAAAGCAAGCACAAAAGTGCCATTCTCTCATCCAGCAAAACAATAAGATTAGCTGTTTTATCACTAATTTTTCACTCTCCTTGCCTACTTTGTAAACATGGCATGGATGACTTTGCTCCTTATCAGCTGCAAACTGAATCTGCCTTTGTTGAAGCACCGTCAATCAGCTGGCTTTCTGTGCATACACTCAGTGATATACCCAACTGAAAAAAGACAGACTTTCAATTTCCCTGTAATATCAGAAAAAATAAAAACAGAGAATGAAAAACAAAAAAGACTCTTCTATACAGTGTAACCTAGAGTTCATTTAGTCTGCCAGACAAAATGAGATTAAAAACCAATGAAGGTCAAAGCTATTAACATTTGGATCAGAGGGCATTTTGCCTGTTAGGATCTTGTTAGACTGGGCCTTTGTAATTGCCCAGTTTGTTTCCAGCATGTCATGTAAACACTAACATTAGCTAAAGCCTGTGTGGTCTCGGACTCCACATAGGCAGCTTTATCTTTGATTAGCAGCAAAAACACATAATTCTTTATATACCAATTTGAATGGTCAATGAACCTCTTCATTTTTGCTGGTACCACTTGATTGTGACATTTCCAAATGGACTGTAATTTGATTTCCCTTTAGAACCTTCTGCTGTTACATTTTTTAAAGCATATGATTGGCAGCTTCCTTGCACACTAGGCAACTTTGAGAGCCAGCATGTTATTCTTAACAAAGAATGCCCTTGATCATGAGGAAAGACTAAGGAAATTTGAGTGCCAGTCCAGAAGATAACCTTTTTTGATTAAATTACTGTCAACACACCATGAAACAGCTTCTTTCTCAAGCTCTGGCAGTAACATCTTTCCTTTTCTCTTATGTTTCCCAAAAGTTGTAGCTGAACTCTGACAGCATTTTCTAGACAAAATTTACCACTCTCTACTCACATTGTCCATTCATATTCCAAGTAAATATAACGCATAGGAAAGCACTGTGTAACTTTGAATACATGAGCAAGCCCTTCAAAAATAGCTGAGCAATGTAACATTTCTATCAACATTGGTACATGTAGAGAAAGCTCCTCCACCTTTAACACTTCCACTTTCTTCTCTACTCACACAAATACCTTAGTCCTCAAATCTCAAATCCTCTTGAAGCCTACTCTGACTCCACCAAATGTCAGGGGTCTCCTGATTTTATGAATGCTCATAACACGTCCAGGCTTTATGTGTGGACTGGTGTGATTTGCTTTTGTTTCTTATTTACTTATATCTGAGTCTTACATTATAATTATTTGTTAATTTCCATCTCCCCTGCTAGACTCTGAGCTTACTAAGGGAAGACCATGTGGTCCATCTTTTTATCATCAGCAGCCAGTCTTAGAATTGAATCACTGAATGAATGGATCTTTAGAAGAGCAGAGACCATATTTCAAATAGAGTACTATTACATTACTCCCGATGGCACTAAAGTTATTTAAATTAAGCAGCAGGGCTGTATGCAGTAGCTATATTTTTATATAATTCTTAATAAAACCTTATATGCACTAAGTCATTTGGGAATTACAAAAATTTCATAGAGTCTACTTGCCCTCTAGGTTCTTCTTTAAATTAAACGTTATTTGTTACATTGTTCTTACCTCCTTGCTTGGATTAGACTGTTAAACTGCAATGAGACAAATCCCCAATGAAGCTAGCTTTAAATACAGATATTCTCAAACAATACAGCCGAGACTGAGGAGAACTACGAAGTCAGATATCTACCCCTCTGTCTCTGTCTTCACATTTGCTTCTCAAGTGACCATTCCATTTTCTCCTTCACTTCTACATGGTACATCACTGCCACCTCAATGTTGTGGCTTCAGCCATTGAGCCTACATAATATTGTAGACCCAGAACCCAGAGCAATATGAACTGCTATATCTGTGTCTCAATCCAAAATTTTGGGATGGAAAAACTAGTTGGCCCACTTTGGCTTATGTTGCTACCTCTAGTTCAATCATTTATGGACAGTCATAGGATATATACACCTGACAATATCAGGGCTATGGGTGAAGTATATTCTATAAGAAGGAAATGAAAGAAAGAACAGAAAAAAGGAGGAACAAAGGAAGAAAAAAGGAAGGGAGGGAGGGAGAGGAAGGGAGGGGGGGAGAGAGAGAGAGAGAGAGAGAGAGAAAGAAAGAAAGAAAGAAAGAAAGAAAGAAAGAAAGAAAGAAAGAAAGAAAGAAAGAAAGAAAGAAAGAAAGAAAGA